TATATATATATATATATATATGTTTATCTAGTATTTGGTTTATATATATATATATATATGACGGGTAATTATTAAGATAAAAATTGGGTATAATTTCTTAGGTACGGTTAATGTTATTCTTCAATAAAAGTTAAAATTTTACGTTGAAATTATGCGTAAATATATATTAATAATAAGATCTATTTATATAATATCGAGATAAAACTTTAATTTTAATTAAAAAAGCAACATCAATCATTAAAAAAAATTATATCTAAATTTTATCCTAATTATTATGCGACTGGATAAATCGCCATGCTCTATTTAGCTATTTCGTAAAGGAGTAGTTTTAAAATAAAGAATAAGATCTTATTTCGTAAAGGAATAGTTTTAAAATAAAGAATAAGATCTTATCTATTTGATGGATTTAGCATAAATTAGTACCTTAATTGTCTTGACATTGCGTCAGATTTATGAAAGCATTTGTTTCTATTTTGAGTAAAGTGGTTGCTAGCTAGTTTAAACTAAAGAATATGATCTTTTCTATTTGATGGATTCGGTACAAATTAGTTTTCTAAGGGCATGTTTGATAATAAAAAAAAAATAGAATGAACTAGATAACAAATAAAAAAGAGAAATAGAAAAAAGAAAACGAGAGTGTAAATTGGTTTAAGAGAAATAGAAAAAAAGAAAAAGAAAATGAGCAATACTATAATTAAAAATATTTAAAATTAGATTAAGATTAAAATGAATTTAAATAATTAATTAAAAATCTAATCTAATCAATTAAATAAATAATAATAATTTTTTATTTAATTGATCGAATCAGAATTTTAATGATTAAACCATCATTAATACATGTGTATTACTGAAAACAACAAAAACAACTAATTATTGATTATTTTAATAATGTTTTTCATTTCGTCACTTATAACTGTTTATTTTTTTTGGTTATTTTTTTGAAAAAATAAATAGGTAGACTATACTTCTTTTTTTTAATTATTTATTTTCCTGACTCTTTCTTCAATATCAAACGTATTGTAATTGTCTTGATTGTGTCAAATTTATGAAAAATATCTGTTTCTATTTTGAGTAAAATTATAACTTAGTTTCATATTCATTAATGGTTAAACATTAATTTTGTTTATAAATTAATTAATGGCATTTAGTTTTTGATAAGATTTTTTGTTGTTGATATACATAATTTCTTTTAAGATAGTTAAAAGTATATATACATGACTATGTTCGTGAACCAAATAAATACATATTAATGTATTATTGATTTCATTTAGTGATTTTATATGATTGATAATTGATGAATGGAGTACACCTTAATTGATTGAATAATGTGTGTGAGTATTGGATATCTCTTGATAAGAAATTTAATTCTTATAGATAAAAAAAACATTGATAATTAATTATTTTTTTATTAATAAAAAAGAGTTATTATGATATAATAAGAATTAAACATAAGTTTTCATAATTGTTTTTAGTATAATTTCTTTTAATATAATTTATTTTTCATTTTCATTAATTATTAAACATTAATTTTATTTATAAATTAATGAATGATATTTATATTTGATCAGATATTTTTTATCAATATATTTTCTCTATCCCAAAATAATTAAAGTTTAAGATCTTTATATATAAATTAAAAATAATAATAAATACTCCTCACAGTCTTAATTATAAATAATAAAAGAAAATCCATAAGACGAAAAAAATAATTAATATAGTAACTTTTAATTAATGTTAACATTAATTTAAATCTTATTTCAAATATATCATTTTAAATAGTTATTATATTTAATTTTAATTATAAATTAATATATAAAAAATATAATTAACAATAAATGAAAGATATAAAATGAATTTAACCTTTCGTAACTTTAAAAATCAATAATTATTGCTTATAGTTAGGATTATAAAAAAAAATTAATTAGTTATTTATAATTAGAGCTAGAACATAATAAGGGTGAGCATAAAATTGAGACCCGAATCGAACCCGAAAAACTCGATAAAAAATATTACCTTTAGGTGGGTTCGGGCGAGTTTTACGGGTAAATCGGGTTAAAATTTTGATTTTATACGGGTTATATTGGGCGGGTTCGGTTTTAATTTATAAACCTGCTAAAAATCGAACCCAATTGAAAATGAGATAAATTTAGATTTTTATTACTTTTGTATAACTAAACAACAATGGTCCAAATTTAAAAGTTTTTATTTCAAGTATAATATAACTATCAATTTGTAACTTTTTTTTTCTTTTTCTCATAACCTAGATATTTCTTTTGTTTTCTCCTTCCTCATTCAATTTCTCAATACACTAGTATATTTTTAGATTTTTTTTTCTTTCTTTATCTTTCTTTTCCATTTTCCTATCTCCATTTTGAGTACAACTTGTAGGACAGTGGTTTCTTATAGATTTTGTAATCTAACTTTAGATTTCTTTTGCATGTAACAACTATGAATTTTGTTATCTTTTGTTTTTGCTTCTTTAGTTTGTAAATGTTTCATCTACGAATCTACTTATATCATCTATTGTTACCTTCATTCTATTTTTGTACACTGTTTTAAAAATATTTTTTTACCGTTTTAAGCTTCACCTTCGTTAAAATAACTTGATCTACAAAAAATCTCAAACCCGATTGTCTCACCCGCCCAAATCTGAATCCGTTGCAACCTGAACCGTCTAAAACTAAAAGCTCAGTTGGTCGAATATGGATCACGTTTTTCCAAAGTCGATTTACAATGGTTAAACATTTTTAATCCGAATCCGACCGAACCCGCCTGTTACCCACCCCTAGAACATAATATCATTTGTAAAAGATATTATATTACTTTCTTATACAATTTTACCAAAATAATCTCACTCTAATAAAGAATTTACAAACACAATAATTAAAATTCATTAAAATTGGTATAATATACATAGAGTAAATTTTAAAAAATAATATTACATTGAAAATTATAAACATTAATTTTTAGATTTTTTTCAAATGTTAAAATTAAAATTATCTTAAACGTTAAAACGAAAAAAGTACATGAATTCTTTTAAAATAATTAAAAGTACATACGAATATATATTATTGATTTCATCGACCTATGTGATTGATGTTCAGTTTTTTAAATGACCCAATATATTACAACGAAGATAACAAAAATTACACTTTAGTTGTCACGGTTCATCTTGAACGCTGGTCTATCCTAGTGGTTAATTCATCGATGTTTATGAGTTACAGATTCTAATTTTATCTTACTCGATCTTGTTAATTAATAGTGAGAGGTATATTTGTTTTTTAGTTCATTACTTAATTATTTATTTAAGTCTTGGCGATGCATGTCCTTTGATGTGATTGGTTACAAAGTTGATAATGATTGGGATTACACATATCTTGTAAAGTGAGACGTCAGCTTGCGTCTTCATTATAAAAGCACGATGATGTGTTTTCAATTTTCATGTTATAATAAGAAGATCAAAAACAAAAACGCATAAAAAGTAAGTTAACAAATAATTGAAAAAAAAATTAATATTAGATTTCAGTTTTTTACTTTTACATTAATCATGGATTTTTATCATGTTCACGTCTTTCTTCCCTTGAATATTAATTGTGTTGGAGATTCACGTACTATATCTCCAGCAAATTGAGTTTTATTATTTTGTGTAATTGAACATAATAAGACTATTTTCTTTTTGTACTAGATCAACAAAAAGAATTGTTTAAAATTATGTCTAAAATTGAAATTGATTACTTAACAATAACTCAAAATGTAAAATTAAACAACCAAAATAAATCATTTACACAATAAAGAATCAAAATGAATTTTAATACCAAGATAAAAGAATAAAAACATATTTTATTTCTCTTATTTTGTCGTCGTTGTAAAATATAAAATAAAAAAAAAAAACGAAAATATAGTAGGATCGATCATTTTCCTTTTGATAAATTGACGAAACCGATACGTCTTCATAAATTAACGATACCATAATTTAGACAAAAAAAAAAAAGTGATCTAGAAGTGGAATACGTAATTCATATATTCATGGCAAAAGTCTCGATGAGGAGAAAAAAAAAAGTATGAGGATTGAGGAGGGAGTTTCCCCGTCCAGAAATGGGAAAGCAAATAAGAGAAAAAGGCAAGCAAAGATAAGTTAAAAAGAAAAAAGAAACTTATTTTTATTACAAATGACCGGACAGTAGAGCTGAAAAGAAATGGAGGAGCGCATGAGAGATGAGATGAGATGAAAAGAAATGGCGAGTGAGAAAATGAGGTATCCGAAGTGTGGAGATAGAGATACTCAGCAAGAGCAAGAGCAAGCATTAATTAATTTTGCCTGTAAGCAATGTAATTGGTTAAAGCAAACAAGGGAGCAGCCTTAAGAGGATCGAAGCCTGCCAATTGCTCCTTGGCGTCCTCAATCAACTTATCCGCAAACTCCTTAGACTCGTGTATCCCCAAAAGCTTAGGATACGTCACCTTATCCGCCACCAAGTCCTTCCCCGCCGTTTTCCCCAATTCCTCCGACGATTTCGTCACATCCAGAATGTCATCAACAACCTGAAACAGCAAGCCAATGCTCCTCGCGAACTTCCTTAACTTCTCAACCTCCTCCTCCGTTCCACCTCCCATGATGGCCCCCAGCACAACCGCCGCCTCCAGCAACGCCGCCGTTTTGTGAAGGTGAATGAACTCCAACCTCTCCAACCCCACATTCGATACCCCTTCCGAATCTATATCCACCACTTGTCCCGCCACAAGCCCTTCCCCGCCGATGGATTTCGCCAGCTCCCCAACCGCGCGAACCACACGCGCCGCCGCCACCCCTTTCGTGGCCACCGCCACGTGCTCGAAGGCGAAGGCCAGGAGCGCGTCGCCGGCCAGGACCGCCACGTCCTCGCCGAAGACCTTGTGGTTGGTGGGCTTGCCGCGGCGGAGGTCGTCGTTGTCCATGCAGGGGAGGTCGTCGTGGATGAGCGACATGGTGTGGATCATCTCCACCGCGCAGGCGGCGGGGATGGCGGTCTCCTCGGCCCCCCCGACGAGCTCGCAGGCGGCGATGCAGAGGAGCGGGCGGACCCTCTTGCCGCCGGCGAGGAGGGAGTAGCGCATGGCTTGGTGGATCTTCTCCGGATCTCTGAGCGCAATGGCTGCGTCGAGGGCTTGGTTGACTGTGTTGGCCTTGTGGAGCATGTAGGCCTTGAAATCGAAGGTGTCTTGGGTTATGACATGCGCGGTGTCTTCCTTGGTGGACACAGCGGAGACGGAGAAAGAGGGAAGAGAGGAAGAAGAAGAAAATAGGACTAGTTTATCTCTTGCGCGTTTTGGGGCAATGGGAAGAGATGAGAGAGTGTGGTAAAGGGGAATGAGAGGTGAAAGTGTGGTGTTAAGCATAAGGTTCGCCCAAGTCATGTTTGGAGCTTGCGTGTGGTGTGGGTGCGGTGTGATTCCTCTCGTTATATAGTGGTCAGTGGATGTGCTACTTGTCTAAATCTCTGCCCTCTTACTCACACTCATGCATTCCGACAATATATTTCACCACACAATTATGTTTTCCTATATTTAATATCCATTAAATATTCGTCACCTGCCGGATAGTATATGCTTTATTCCAATTAACTAATCCTTTCAATTTATATATAAATACAGATAATTATTTTTATACGAATTAAAAAAGAGAGTTAAATTTTTTTATTTTTTTTTTATAATTTTAGTATTGGTGTAAAATATCCACTATCAAAAGTAATGATTAATTCTCATCTAAGATTATGAGTGTATGAAAGGTGGGTATTATGCTTCTAACATAATTTATAATTTCATATTATAAAATATATACTATATTTATTAAAATATCATTAGTCATGTTTATTATAGATAGTATTCTAATTTTTTATTTTAGAGGTGTTTTTGGATTAAAAACATATTAAATAAATTTGATATAGTTAAAATTTACTTATATTTGAATTCAAAAAATTTAAGTATTTAATTGTTTATATACAAGTGTAGAAGGGGTAAGTGCGTGTTTGATAACATGTCCAAAACGTGAATCAAAGCAAAAATTACGTTTAAAACGTAAAAGTTATAATTGATAGCTTCCATTTTAACGTGATAAATCACGTTTAAAATCTAAACCAAACACACACTAAGTAAGATGTTGATTCGAATTTTAAGTACGAAAACTTACTTAAAGGATTGATTCTTTACTTACTCACAATTTATAAACATTCAAATGACATCTCACTACCAGTGCATGGATTAACTAATATGGTATTGTTCAACTTAACCAATAATTTTGAATTGCGAATATGTAGTTGTGTTAAATATTTAAAAGAAAAAGTTTGTCGTCTATAATAATCCTACGAAACTTGAACAAGATTGCCTCCACTATAAGATACACCTTGTGTAGAAAAAAAATGACACTTATTATTTGTATGAAGATGTATACATCGAGGGTGTCCAAAAATATATATATTTTTTTTATGATCATATTATTAGTATGAAGTATCACTAATGATTAATATTCATTAGAGAAAATGGCCGACTACTTTTAGTAAAATCTTCTATTACAACCATTTTTTTTTTCTTTTTTAAGTACTTAAACATGAGATATAACTTAAGGTGACTAAGTCTAGTATCGCTTAACCCTACAACTTATTGGTAGAACATTTTTTCCTCTACAAGTTGTTGTAAAGTCAAATAAAATTTTGGATTTAATTAAGATAAAATTATGAATATTACCGACAACTATTAATAAAATAACATTAATAATTATAAATTAATTTATTAATATATTTCTATATAAATAAATATTTTTTTTAATAAATTGATACTAATAATTAATATTGTAAATAATATTATATATGTATATAGAAATATTTTAATAAAATAAAATAATAATGATAAATCTATTAATAATATTTACAATATTTAAATATATTCCTTTTTTTTACCTAGACTAAAGATATCATTCATCGGAAACAATCTTATTCAACAAGCGAAGAACCACTATAATTGGTCTTAAAAAATTGAATTACGAATTTAATTTAATCTTACAAGACTAATTTGTAAGTTGAGGATCACTCATCACTTATATACTTATTTTGATTATATCTCAAGTTAATGTGAGATCTCTAACACTCTTCTCGTATCGCGAACTAGACATCATGTGTATGAAGTTGTAGGATTGGAGATTTGTGAGTAGTTCGATAATGACTTGATAACAAATGATCAAATAAGCTTAACAATAATCATTGATATAGACTCTGGTATCATTTTAAGAAAGTGAATTATGGGTCTATCTCAACTTTATAAAATTGTCTTTTGAAGTTTAAATTATTCCTCACTTATACATTGTATTTTCTAAATATTTAATCAATTACATATATTGAAAACTTCAAATTCGACACCACTACTTAAATTGAATTAATTTCACGTCATTTAATATATTTCTTTAAAAAATGAGATACACGTTTAATATTTTTCATAGGCAAATGAATCGTTGCCCTTGATAACCATGGTGCTTATTTCTCTACTATAATGTTTTATTTAATCAAATTAAGAGTTTAATAAATATGCACCATCAATATAAAAAATATATATTGTCAACCAATCAAAAGTTTTTTATTTTATAATCATATTATTGATATAAAATATCTATTAATTTTTATTATTATTAATCTCTATTGACGAATTTAGTTGGTGTACCGCCTAGCTTAGATGGGCTGAGTTGAGCTCACCATGAACTTGACCTTATCGAGACAAGTTCACCATGTTGGATTTAGAATATCACCCAAACGCCAGTTAAATGGATAATCCTCGCACCATATCTCTAGGAATCATGAAACACATTAAAGAATGACACATCAAGGTTAATATTTCCACCATTAAACACCATGTACTATCATAGGAATGTACCACAAATATCATACAAGATTATCTCCTAAAATTACACAATATTATAAATCACTTATATATAGGGCACGAGGTATCGTTCTAACCCTAATTTGATTCTTCACTTAAATTCTCCTAAGCTTAAGCATCGAAGTGTCTTTACAGGTGCCTATTATCGTCACCACTAATATTGTAGCAATGAGAACATCATATCTATTGTTGGAGCACTTGTAGAATTTGATAAGAATATTTGGTATCCACCGTAGGACCGAAGTGAAATTATCCTTTAGTCATATATGGTTTCTACTTGAAACCAAACGATGAATAACACTATAGCAAAAACCTCTACAATGAATGCCTACCTTGACTCCATCCTAGAGTGACAACCTCTAGTCTTCGTTGTTGCTACAACTCCATTCGTATAACTTGTGGCAACCACAATGAACCCACCTATTACACCATCTAACACTAAATTATTACAATGCATGGAAGTTATGTAGAAATCTAACGAAGAAGCTCTAGTTGCTAAAGATGGGTACATGGACTCGGGTCTAAGGATCGATCTGTAAGCCTGCGGACCTTATGGATAACATACTTTTTTTTTCAAATCCATATAATTATGTTTAGTTTTTGAGTTCAATTCATGAAGTTTGCGGTTCCGTGAGCTTGTAGGCAAGTCCACGAACTTCATTAATTATTTTTTCATTTATTAAGACTAATATTTAGTTGTGTATTCAAACTTTTATATTATTATGACATTAAAACTATGTTTAGTTGATATGATTTTCCATTTGGATTATTTTAAGATATTTTAATATTTTTATTATTGAAAGTTTGATACTATTATATAAGTATTAGTAATATTTTTAGTATTAACATTTTAATATTTAGTGTTTAAGATCATTCTAAATGTTGGTAAATTTTAGTGTGATGGATTTTAGTTTAAAAATAATAAAAAAATTTGTTCTTATAATTTTATGCATTTTTATTTTTTAAAATATTTTTTTAGACCCACAGACCAATTCATTTATTTGTGGGTTTGGGGGTCGAATACGAACTTGAAAAAAAAGTCTATTCGTTTTTCGAATTAGACTTGTCTAGCTCGTATAAAATACGAGTTTCACTAGGGGGCTTCAAACAAATTGGACTCATCTGTATACCCACCTCTACTAATCGCCCTTCGCCAATAATGGGAGACTAATCGTGCATGCTACGAAGTCTATCGTGCATGTTACGAGCAGGAACTCCAAGTCCTACACTAAGAGAATAACAACATTTGCTCATGGACCAGGATATCAACAATGGAATAGTACACTATATCATATTGAGACATACACATCGCACAAGAATCCCAACCTTGCAAGGAGAGCCATCCCCTTTCTCGATTTTCCTAAGGACAGCTTGTCGGTGAATGTCGTGATCACCCATTTATCGATGCCATAGTTGACACCCTACTTCCCAAGGGATGGAAGCACCTCACCAAGAAGCGTATACAACAACTTGACTTGGTCAAATGAACACTTAGTCATGTACAAAACCATAATGCATTTTTACACTCAGGAAGATGCAGACATATGCAAGATCTTTCCTTCAACACTTGCAGGCCTCGCGCTCCTATGGTATACTCGTATATTAACATTCTACATATTTAGCTATGTTGTCCTAACTCTATTGCTCAAGGCAAGATTTGCCACCAGCTGACTTCATGAAACTTCCACACTAGTGTTACTTAACATGATACAAGATGACGATGAGTCATTTTGAGCTTTCATGGAGAGATTCTCGATTATCGCTAATAAGATACTGTTGCACATATATATGATATTTCAAAAGGAAATAGTCTCACATTGCTTGGTTCACCCAAATGTAGAGCCTTTATATATTAAAGTGCTCCTTACACTTCCAAAGAGGCAAGCAATGGGTGGTGGGCTCGCGCACGTGAGAATGGGCCTTGTGAGCCCATTGTAGTTCAAATCTGTCGATTTGACCCCCACTGCGCGTGCGATAATGAGATCCGAAAATATTTTTATTTTGATTACATTAAATTTTTCTTAAAATTAATTAAAGAAACCTTATCCGAATATGACCATTTTTCACATTTCAAAATTCAAGCTTGATTCTGTTTTGAAAACCGATCAAATCTTACCGTTATAAAATCGGATTTATTTTCTTATTAATTCAGGTTAATTTTTCCTTAATTGTCGGATCCTATTAGGGTTTCTGAGACTCTGTAAATAGAGGTCTCCGACACGTCATTTTCTAATCCCCTGAATTCCTTTCTCTCTGAGTTCTCATATTTTTAGTCGCCAGTTCTGCTCCTCAAATTATCGAGACGACCCTATTGTATCCTTGGGGGCTTGCACTTATCCCGCGAATAAGTTCTTAAGGTCAGTGCCATCACACGCCTCAGGGAAACTTTATTAACGTGGTCATTCAGTGTTTTAGGTTCCTTTTTACTGCGTCCGTCGTTTAAACTCCAGCAGATACAAGATCTTCACCCTCAAGTCACCCTGATCGACATGCTAAACGCGTTAAAAGAATGACCTTTCTCAATT